TTGAACATGATTGAACTGAACCTGAACCTGAACTTGACCAAAGTTCGGTTTCAGTTCGGTTCATAGGAACACTAATTACAGAGTAAGGGTATAATCAACTAATAAGTATCACTTCTCTAAAAATCTAAGTATAAAATTCTTTAAAAAATAATACTGTATTATAAAATATAAATATATGCTATATTATATAGTATATACAGCTTTAGATTTATTAATATTATTATATACAATATTTAGAATTATTTATATAAATTTTTAGTCAAAAAGTTAAAGCAATATTAATAATACTGTATATAATATAATAATTTGGCCTAAAGCTAATATAAAAATAAATATTAGTAAAATATATAACAAATAAATATTTTAAAATCACTAAAATAATAATAATAAAATATACTATATATATGTATATGTATACATATTTGTATATATATCATCGGTGAAATAGATTAATATGCAAAAAAAAAGCTAATGATATTGTATAAAAGCTGAAACTGCTTTTAATAACTAAAGGCAATAACAATATTAGACGTTAATAAACAATTCTAATTAACTTGTTTAGAAATAAAAGCTCTCAATATCTCTATTATATTTATTATCTTTCGATTCTGCAATATTATCATTAGTACTAGTTCTAGTGCATTACTAGAAATATTGCGGAATTAAAATATACATAATGTGAATTTTATTTCTAGACATGTAACTAGCGCCAGATTTATTCTCAAATTTCTTTGTGAGGGTTACATTAATTTGAATAATTTGAATTCAAAACCACAATATCCAATGAAAACTAATTTGCACAAAACTCAAAAAACACTTTACATATCATAAAACCATGGCATGTTTTGTAGTGCAGTCAGACTATACAAGTTTGAATGTCAATAGCTTCATTAATATAACCTACTTTTAGCAAAAAAATAAAAGGTTTAAAATTCAAAATTTTATATAAAAATATATGTTGTTATTTTTAATACAGTATATAGCGATCGATATAATTTTTTATAGCGATAAATAAAATTGGGAAATGTACAGTACACAGTGGGGTATAGCCTCATTCATCGTTGTTTGTGCGATTTACACAAACCAGACAAAAAACAAACATAAGTATCGCTTGTGCAAAAACTTCGCAAAAACAGTAATACAAAGAAAGTAAGTGTTTGAAATTTTTCTATAACAGATAATACCGTAAATCGCCGTATACAAGATCTGGATCTGGTACATTATAGTAGATCCCGTGCCTAGTATGCGGCTGAGAGTTTATATCATTAAAAAGAAAATTTGCACTTATAATAGGCAGTCTAAAAAACCGCATTTATTAATATAGATTTTGTAATTTGCGCCTGGGCCTAATTCATGGTGGATCTACTATTTGAGTGGGTCTTGTATATGGCAATTTACGGTAGTTCAACCAATAATGTTCTAACTAAAAATCTCTCTAAGTAAAGTTCTCGAGAACAGACTTTAACAACGTGCACTTAGAGAACAATATTGCACCCGTCAAGAAAATCTCTACTCAGGTATTATTAAATTAATGGTTATCCGGGTAATTAAAAATGTCTACTCGGGTACAATGTATATATTTGGGCCAGAATTTGAGTATGCAATTAGAGAGGATGTGCTGCTGCATGCACTTAGAGGGGTGCACTTAGAGAGGTTGTACGGTACGTATAAAAAAAGAAAGGAAATTGCATAACAAAACGCACTTATATAAATGCAGTAATTAAAATGTTAATCGATTTGAGTAGATTATATATTATATATTTATATATGTTGTTAATAGATTCGTATTAGGATTAGATCAGAATTTTATACAACTAATATGTGTTTTAATTATTTAAAAGCAATCATAAGTTATTTTATTTCGAAATAGTTTTATAATTATGATTATAGTATATCGTTTACGATATGAAAGCTGAATTCTACAAATGTAAACGAGCTTATCGTTATGTTACGTACTAACCTAACCGATTGAAAATCAAGAATTTGAAAAATATGCATTTGACAAAAAAAGGTAATGTATAATGATATCATATTTTCTATTTTTAAATATAATAACGATAAATTTTAATTTCTACATACTTTAAGTCATCAAAAATCTGATTAAGAATCAATTTAAGTTGATTCCGAATATACTGTACGAATACTCCGTATTCACCCGCATCATAAATCATCATATATCTAAGAGTCTAGTTAAATACACACGAGTATAATAAATGTTTGTCATCTTACGTTATTTCTTTATACACATGAGCGTCATTTCAGATCACGATCCGCATTAAGTTTAATTCGGTCCATAATCCGCATTAAGTTTAATTCACACCTCGGGAGTTAATGAATCTCACCCTAAACAATTTCTCTGACCAATCAGACTCCTATCGCTATGAAACTGCCTTCTGTACACTAACAGAAAAGTCTTACAAATTTTTGGTAATACTAAAGGTTCTTCTAATTATAGTTGTCATTCAAACCTAACTATACAGTTTGGGACTTTGGGACGTTCAAGATTATTAACCATTATTTTAGACTAGTTAAACCCGTGGAACTTGTCCCCAACATTGTATAAATTGGGTTTTGGGTCAATTTTCAGATATGTATAACCAATTTGTGCCAATAGTTATAACTACTGTATTTGGACGGCAACTATTCTAATTTATAGTAAATTTTATCCTTAATCTAACATCGGAAATTCTTTAGCGAAATTTTTTAGATTGGTAATGCATATCAAATATTATTACCCATATAACTTCCGATTTTCGAATGAATAGTGTTATTCAACAAAGGTACAATGAGTTCAATGGAGCTGACCCGCTTACGTAAAACATTACTATATCGGTATATAAAAACTGATTATCTTTCATATCACACGTAATACAGAAGAGGATAAATAAACTTAAATTGGTAATTATATATTATATTAAAAAAATATTATTAAATATAGGCATAGGCAATTAAAAATTATTATCATTTTTTCGTATAACAATTTAAAATGTGTACCCGATACCATGTCTCTAATACATGCTCTTCTTCAGTCTAGTTTGTAATTTTAATGCTTTTAACGAAAACTTCAAATCTTAGAGGCTGAAATTTCACTTAGTCAATTTTTTAACGAAAAGACTTTAAAACTTTTAGAGACTGAAAAAAATACCGAAATTTCAAGTCAAAAATTTACACTTTCGTTAAATTTATCATAAAATACTATATAAAAATGTCTATGTCTAGAGAATATTATAATGTTATATCACAACCATCTACTGATGTATTAGTACATCTAGATACAACTCGTAGAAAGGCCCTAGCAAGTCTTGACGACTCATCTATTATGTGGTTCCATTTTCGGACCTGTATAATATCGGGTATCGGATTTTTTACCAGTGCATACGATCTTTTCGTCGTTAATCTGGTTTCAAACATACTTGGATATGCCTATTATGATAGTGATTCTTTCAGTAAAGATGTTGTTCCTACAAATTTGGATACAGGTATAAAAACTTCTGCTGCTATAGGAAACGTAATTGGTCAACTATTGTTTGGATGGATGGCTGATAGATATGGTCGTAAAAAAGTAATTTTAAATTCTTTGACCTATTGATATATTAATGTCGTCCACCTCGCAAACCTGAGAAATTTATTCTTTTTTTTCCTTTTTTTTTTCTTTTTTTGTTTATGTTGCATGAATGCTATGATGTTAGGTATATGGAATAGAGCTTTCGATTATGATTGCTGCCACTGCGGGAACAGGTTAGAAATACTTCAAGAAAATCTTTTCTTTATTAACATATATATTTTGAATAATAAATCTAAATACAATAAACCTTTTTAGCTCTCGCTGCAAATTCCTTTTCTATGAGCATGTTTGCTGGAATTATATTTTGGCGTATTGTTTTGGGTATAGGAGTTGGGGGAGATTATCCACTCTCTGCTGGTAATTTATTTTCGTAAATTGAATCTCTTAGATTACGATTACGAATTGAGAAACAAATTTTTTATAATACTGTTTTTAGTCATTACTAGTGAATTTGCAACAAAGAATAAACGTGGAACAATGATGGCATTGGTATTTGCAATGCAAGGTTTCGGTATTTTAACAGCCGGTCTAGTTACAATAATTACATTAAAAGCCTTCGAATCTTCTATTAAGAAAGATGTTCGTTATCTTGACTATGTTTGGAGGTATGAAGCTTTACGTAAATTTTTAAGTTTTATATAATTCTGTAATTTTATATATAAAATTTCATTGAATTATTTAGGATCGTCGTTGGAATGGCCATGATTCCAGCAACTGCAGTATTGTATTTCCGACTAACAATCCCAGAATCACCCCGTTACACGATGGATGTGTTCGGAAATGTTGAAAAAGGTTCCCAAGACACTGAACTTCTTCTTTCCGGTAGTAAGAATTTAGATAATGATAAATTCGAAGCGTTTTATTTGGTTGGAACGCCACGAGCTTCGTGGAAGGATTTTAAAAGTATTTAACGAAAAAAGATTGTATATTAAAAAAAAGAATGGTTGCACTGATTTATATTTTAAATATCAAATAGAATACTTTGGAAAATGGAAAAATGGAAAAATTCTTCTTGGTACCTGTGCATCGTGGTTTGCCATAGACGTGGCGTTCTATGGTCTTAGTTTTAACCAAGGTAAGAACTGAAATAGACAAATATTTTAATCACTTACCTACGTGTATTAATATATTAATAACTATTAATGTTCTTAAATCAAGGAATAATCATACAAAATACAACTTCAAGCTTATTGCAATTCTCGGATACTTATGATACTTTATTTAGTATCGCCTTAGGTAATATAGTTGTGACACTATTAGGATCTGTACCAGGATATTGGTGTACTGCCCTTTTTGTTGATAGATTGGGAAGAAGATTTATTCAGCTAATGGGATTTGCGGTCTTAACAGTTCTTTATTTGGTGACGGGTTTCTCATTTAATATTCTTAACACCTCTTATCAGTTGATATTTGCAATACTCTTTATAGTATCAATGGTATGCATTTTATATATATCCATAAAAAAAATCATATAAACTACCCAACTCATTGTAGAACTAAGCTTCAATAACTATCTGATAACTTTAAACTACAAAGTTTACTTCTACAATGAGTTGAAAACTTTGAAATTATTATGACGCTGGAACCTATATTCGTGATATCAATTTTCAAATCATTAGCCTGTTCACTCACGTGATCATACATGATCCATGTAAAATTTCATCATATCGGCGGATTTGCAGAATGCATTATTACAATCGCATTGTTAAAATCTATGAACCTTAATTTAGGTCAATTCTGTAAAATCGCCGATATGTTGATTTTGAAAATTGATTCACAATTTGACTGTTTTTGAAAAATCGTGGAGTATAGTACTAGGATGATTTGATGCATAGTTTTGATTACTTAATTCCAGCTAGCTCCGATTAATTCCACCCGACAACCTCACCCATACCTTGGGTCAGAAAACTTATCAATGCGATCGAATTTTTATCAGTTTATTTACCTTTTTGATGATCTCAGGACATGGCTCTAATCATAGATTAATTGTCTTAAGGTGTTAAGCACCTACCTCAATGGACTCAATAACGAATCTGATTGGTCTGTTTAATCAAACTAGCCAATCAGATTTTTTATTGAATTCATTGAGGTGGGTGCTTGAGAACGCCCTTAATCGATACATCATAACGAACATTTCATAGATTAAAAATTTGCTCATTCCTTAAACCTCTTTGGTCTTGCCTTAAGAATCACTTATCGGAAATTATAGCATTGTCTCTGGGATCGAAGTACTACGTATTTTCCTAAAAATTCTGTGATTCTTAAGACGGGACCAAAGAAATCTCGGAATTGGCAAATTTTTAATTTGTCACAGAATTTGAAAACAGCTGTAAAAAACACTAGGATACTTCCAGCATCATATATTTATTGTAATATACTCTGACAATTTAACTAACTTTTACACATTTCTTGTTTTATAATGATAGTTCTTCACAAATTTTGGTCCAAATTCGACCACTTTTATTATACCAGGCGAAGTATTCCCAACTCGTTATCGCTGTTTAGGCCACGGTATAGCTGCTGCATGTGGAAAATTAGGTGCAATCTTAGCACAATTGGGAGTTTTATTACTTAAAGACATAGGAGGACCTAATAAATTTTTAGATCGATTATTCGAAATTTTTGCGTTGATCTGTTTCATGGGCTTTTTATTTACTCTTCTACTTCCAGAAACAAAGCAAAAATCTCTGGAAGAAAATTCAAATGAAAAACAGGAAGGATTTTTCACTGGATATATTTCTCCTGAATTAAGACAGCCAACGATAATTAAGATACAAAACCATTTCAATGGGGATGAATCTTTTAAATCAGATAATTAACAAATGAATTATGGTATTCCCCTTCAATATCATCAAACAAATCTAAGGTTTTGTAATTTAATATTTTAATATCATCGTTTTAATAATCATATATATATATATCGATATATATATATCGTAATGTACAGCCGCAAATTTCTGAATTTAGGAATTAATATTTGGTTACACGATATTTGACATTGAATAATTTTGATTGAATGATGATTTATCACCAAATTGACTATCTTGACAAGACGATTTCAACGAACATAAAAATTTCTAAAATCTCTTTTATTGTTGAATCATTTCAATATTTTGGTAATTTTGATCTTGTTGAAATTATCTAAGATAGTAAATTTGGTAATAAAACTAAAGAAATAGAATCAATTTTTACACCTACGGTGTTTTACACTTATGATATGTTTTATTATAGTTTTTACGTTAGGGTTAGTATTTAGGATTAAAGTTAAGGTTGAAAAAGGTTTTAGGGGCATAGAATATTTTTACTTAAGATATCTCGCACTCGTTGATTAGCTAGTTTTGAGATAATGTATACATAGGTGTAAAAAACCATAGGTGCTTTTTAGTAAAAGCCAATAAAATTGCAATAACGCTCGTTGAAAATCGTGTTCTTCAAAATAGTTTATGTGATCTTGAATTAGCGCGCATGAGAGTCCCGAATTAACACGTATATCAATGCAGCATATAATTCATTGTTGTGACAAATGATATATTGGATTCAGAAAATGAAGCTTATTGCGCATGGTTCGAGTTTTACTAGAAGTAGTTTTTAGAATATTTGAACGCAATTCTTGTAAAAGAACCCAAGTACAAAATAGAAATAAGAATTTAGGTTTATTGTAAAGAGTTGATATTATAGTTGTTAGACGAAATCTCGAGATTTTGTGCTGACGAAACGCGAAACCTAGTTTCGTCTTTCGTCAATTAAAATCTTAAATGACGAAACTGACGAAACTGTAAAGGGTGACAAAACTAATAAAGACGAATATACAAATGAATGTTGTTGAAAATCATTGATTATGTGTATAAAAAAATAACAGAAATTTATAAAAATTACAAAAAAATTTATTGTATAACAGGCGTTTGAATTGTTTAAAGAGAGTTAGAAATGAGTATTCTATATTATATTATACTATATCAGTTCTAGTGAGAAGTCGCTTGGTGCTTACTTTGTGATCTTTCAAATTTATTTTACGCCAGTATGCTTTAATTCATTATTTGTGTTATTCCATGAGTACTATAGCTTTTTTAACAAGGTTATTTCAACCGGTCTATATCAACCCTAGCGTTGTCCAGAAAAAAAATGAACTACACGTAGTTTATTTTGCTGGCATAAATGTAATTTAGGATACTGATCACTGAATAAATTATGAAACGAAAAAAATTTTTTTTTTTAGTTGGAGCACTGGTGTTTAGTCTTTTTAAGTTTAAGGTTTCGTCTTTCGTTAGAAGAATTTGGGGTTTCGACTTTCATCAGAGATTTTGTCTTTCACCATCATGCAAAAAAGGTTTCGTTTAACAACTATAGTTGATATTGTATATACAGTAATAGCAATATTATAAAAGGTTTAGCTATACAAGTATGGTACAAATAAATCTTTGGTAAAGAAAGACAAGATAGCACCAATAATTTTAAGGTGATTTGAAATCTTAATTGAAAAAATAACATGATTATAACTAGAACTAGAATAGTAAAAAAAAGTGGTAAACACAAAAGAACCTGTAATAAAGAATAGCAAAAAGCGTCAAGCTAGTAATATAATTGTATAAACAAAGTATAATTGCAATGCAAAAGTATACTAATATTAACTAATTTAAATAAAAGTTAAAAATAATATTTTAATAATACAACTCTAGTTGAAAGTAATAATATTACAAAATATAGCTTATATAGTATTTTACTATTATATAGAAGTTTTTATTATATAATTAGTATAAAAAAATAGTTAAATATATAATTATTTATAAATAGATAGAATATAATTTATTTGTATTTTTTTAAAAAAATACTGGTGACTTAGTGTAGTGGTCTAGTCATCACCCTCTCCAAGTGGCAGGTCTAGAGTTCAAATCCCATAGATGATGATATTTGAAAAATAGGCTTGTGTTTTGGTTGACGGCTATACTTATTGGACAACGCCAGGGCGTAGGATCAATTTTCTGTTCACATGGTTTTTTGATGTAAATTAACCAATCAAAAATCAGGATTAGGTATAACATAACACAATCAAAACAAATATTCACTTTGCAAAAATCGCATATCTCAAAATTTAAACTAGTAAATCAATTTTTTGACTCTAATAAAAAAAATTTCTCATGCAATTTTACTATATTGTAGCTCTTTTTAACTATAAATAATATCTAAATAAAAATATAACCCAATTTTTTTGTTCAAAGACTGTTGACATCGGAAAATCACGTGACAGGAAAATCAATCCTATGCCCTGTCAATTTCATGCTTATCGGCTGAATCTAGAACTAAATCTGTAACTTTGGTCATACTATCTAGAAATGGGAGCTTTGGTGCAATAAATCCAAGAAACTAGCATAACCAAAAACCTATCTGGAAAGTCCTGAATTTGGAGATAACAGTGATCTTTGATGGTACTACAGAAGGGCTAAATTTAAACTAGGATTTAAGATCAGAGAATTAAGCAATCAGATTTTTAAGTGGGGGACATGCTAGCAGAACTGCTAAGCTAATGCACCAGAGAAAAAGGACATATGCTCTAAAAGTATGAACTAAAAGGAGGGTATCCTTCAGGAACCTAAAGCCTAAGCAGACCAACCCATCTAGGTTGCTGGCTAAAAGTAAGGAAGGGACTGATAAAAAATTCCAGTAAAAAGATAGTTCTAAGTGTGAATACTAGAGTCATTGTGAACCAAATAAGAGCAAAAATAGGTAATTGTAGAGGTTTAATAGTTAGTTCTGACTCCAAGTACATAAGTAAAGCCATGGTATAGGTTACCAAAGTCCAAATAAATATATATATAAGATATGTAATATCTAGCAAAATGGAAATACCCTACCATTCAACAATCTGAAAGCACTTGGCATTAGAGTAAGCAAATTTTATGGGATGTGTTGACTAATAATAAGATAAATAGAGATTAATATGACTATATTGGGCTTAGGCTTGGTATGTCTCACCTGGATAGTTAATTTGAAAATCAGAAACTATAACACTGCAGAGAAAGAGATTTGGGACATCTGCAGTAGGAGATAACTAATTAGAAAGGTTGTGGCTTAAAATACAGATTAGGTTACAACAGCACTCCAAAAGGTGGCTTGAGATATAAACTCAGTATTGATAGCATAACAGGTACTAGTTGGGAATAATTTATCAATGATATACTAAAATCTAATATAAAAATAATATATATTCATTCCACAATCTGGATAATAAAGAGATAATGTCATTAAAAAATAAAATAAAAAATAAAAATACTAATAAGTCTATTAAAAAATTTATATACACAAATTTATATCAATTTGTATTTTTTTATTTTTTAACAACAAAAAATAAATAAAACAGAACTCTTTCTGACAATTACTTGTACCAAAAATTTAAATATATATATTTTTTAAAAAAACATAATTGCTCTTGAAACTATAAATTGGTAGCTGTTATTTAGAGGTAGTTTTTATATACTATCTGCTAATAGCCTTAAAGTTTATTACTCATTGCAAAGGTGGTATTTGTTGTTTAGAAGTAGTTCTTATATACTACTTGTTAACAAGTTCAGAGTTTATTATTTACTGAAAAACAAAGTAAAGTACTTTTAGATTATTAGTTGTTGTATTTCTTTTAAAATAATATATACTTTCTTTAAGTACAAGTAGTTTTTCTTTTATTTTCTTATATCTTTCTGTTAGTTTTTTAAAATTTTTGACAAAAAGTGTTAATTTGGTTTATTCTCTTCAAAAAATCAATATTGTTTACTTTTTAAATTTAAATAAACTTAGTAGATTGCTTGCAACTATGTATTTTGTTTATTTGTAAATACAGTGCTACTTTACATAACTTGGATTAGAGTTTTTAGTTAAAGAGATATTTGAAATTGGTCAATAGTTAAAAAATATTTACATTAAGATATAGCTTTATAGTCAAGATATACAAATATTGTATTTGTTATATAATTTTTTTTTAAATCTAGTATGAGTTATAATAGTATACTATTTTTTTTCATTGCAACCTTCAGATTGTTTACTATTTCTTGATAAAGGTAGTTTTTCTCTTTGTTAGCTTTTGGGCTTTTCTTTTTGTTATTTTTTTTTTTTATATTTCCTTGTTTTTCTATTTTTTTTTTTTGAAATTTTCTCTTTGTTTTATTTGGTTTTCTTTAAATATTTTTTATTTTGTTTGTCAATAGATAGTTATATATTGTAGATATAAAATCATTACTTTTCTTTGCTCTTAGTAAAAAAAGAAGAATTGAAGAGATTAGTTTATTCAACTTATATACAAGTTAGTGTGACAAATTATAGCTAAACATGTTTATTATAGCCAGATTATATTAAGTTTGCAATTAAAGAGAAAACAATTTGTTTAGTTCTAGATAACTGTTTGTTTTATTATTTTAAATAAATAAAGTTTTTAATTATTTAAACTCTAGCAAAACTATAAAGAGTTAAAAAAAAAAATAAAAAAATAAAACTATCAAAAATAATATATAAATTTATATTAATCATAGAATTTAATAATTAAAATTTTATTAAAGATGTAGTAACTTAGTATAGTGATCTAGTTATTACACTTTCCAAGTAGCAGTCTAGAGTTTAAATTCCATGAACAACAATTTTAAAAAATAGAGATTGATAGCTATTAATAATTAGTTGGATTTAAAAATTTATAATCTTAATAATATTATTTAGAATAAAAGCTTTGGTGCAACAGTAAATCTAAAAGATTAGAATAACTAAAAACCTGCTTGAGAAGTTCTAAGTTAAGAAGTAGTAGTAATTTTTGATAGTGCTACAAGAAGGCTAAATTTAAAACTAGAAACTAAGATCAGAAAACTAAACAATCAGATCCTTAAATAAGGAGATATACTAGCTAAGCTGCTAAGTCTAGATATATTAAAAAGAAAGAATATATACTTTAAAAGTATATACCAAAAAAAAAAAGACTATAAGATATCTAAAGTCTAGACAAACCAACTTTTTTGGGTTGCTAGCAGAAGTAAAAAAGGAACTAACAAAAAATTCAAAAAAGAAGAAAGTTCAAATATGGGTACTAGGGTTGTTGTAAATCTTACAAAAGCAAGAAGCAAGTAATAAATGACTAATTAGGGAGGTTATAAATTAAATAACTAAAAATAGTAGTATTACAAAAGATAGTGTGAAATATGAACATAGTATAGCAATATAGCATGTACTAGTTAAAAAAAAATTACTAAATATGCAAGTGAATATATATATATAATATATACTATATTATCAAATTTACTTTATAGATAGACTAGCTTAAGTTAGTAAGTTCTAAAGTAAAGTGCAAAATCTAATTAGGATAAATAGCAAATTTATTTTTATATATTATTAATAAAAGACAGTAGTTGTAACTAGAGAGTTTAAATAAGCAGCCTCTATAGTTATAAAATCTTTAAACAAACTACTTAAATTAAATACCAAAAGTGTATATATAGCTTGATTGTAATTATAAAATGTTTATATTACTTAAAGTCTTTAGTCCAAAAAGATTATCTTAATATTAAAATAATAATAATAATAGAAAATTATAATTGGCGACTCGTTGCCATGATGACTCTTTATAGTTAACTAATCATTTTAAAGCTTCATATAAACAACTGTTAGCTACTGTATACAGTATCTTCTAATAGTATTTTACACTTTAAAAGATCTCAGATATATACATATGTACTATATATAGTGACCAACAGTAATATGGCTAATTAAGTATTGAAGCCTGTTTGGCGTGCATATAAACATAGTGTCTTTGGCATATTTTTAATAATATATAAAAAGCATATCGATAGCAATAAAAAAAAAAAAACTCCAAAAAAATAGTTTATATAGAATAATATTTCTTTTATTAACTTCAAACTATCATTAATATTCAAGTTTTTTTTTATAAACAAATTATTTTCAATATGAAGTTCTATTATAATGAAACATTAGCTCAAAGTAGCAAATCTTTTTCAAGTCATCAAGATAATATAAATTCACATCCTTTATTTATTAACTATATAATCTTAAGATATAGGGGTTATTGAATATGTAGCAGTAGTAGTTTGTTATTTTTAATTGGTGCCACAAATTGTAGTTAGTTTTGTTTTTTTGTTTCACGAGATTTTTGTATCACATACTGTACAAATAAGGTTTATCTACACAATTTATATACTTAATACATAAACAAGGACAAGAGAAATTTTTAGACATCTGTGAGTTTCAAGAATTGAAAAGGCTAAGAGAGCAAATTAACAAGTATACCAAAGCCAAAAAAAACAAAATTTCTTAAGGTTTTTTTTTTTGAACTCTTTCCCGAAGGGATGCCAGTTGGTAAAATTCAAGGATTCTTATATATAAGCAAACAGGTATCACCAGCTTTAAAAAAAAAGTACAAGGTAATTAAAAACCATAATGTGAATATTTTATTGTCATTAGAATGTTGTGACTATAAGTTCAAGTCTTTAATATTATGAGCAACATTTATTTTCAGGTCAAATATAGAAGAATCAAATTTTTAAAATACCGAACTTGAGGCATTAGTGATGTATAAAAGTGCAGAAGAGTTAAGTGATGCTGATAGCGACAAGTAGGCAACATTATAATATTTGTTGTAATGTTTAATGTATTTTATTAATTTTTAATTTTTTTAGGTTTAGTGATACTGAAATATTTCTGAACTTTTGTTGGCAAAACTTTTCAAGATTGGGATCAAGTAGAAAATTTTATGAAAAAATATGCTGCTGCCAAAGGCCATGGAGTACAGATTGGTGATGGTGAAAGAAAAAATGCAGAGACTCAGCAAATAATGAAGCAAATGTATTTATGCCGGCATTCTGGAAAACATAAAACTAAGTGGAATGTCTTGTCGAGTAGAATGTCTATGGAAAGTTAATATATGGTTTAAGAAAGATAAAAACTGTCTTGAAGTCACGATCTTGAACAATCAACATGTGGGCTATAAACTTAATTCATCAGCAAAATGGTTTGATCCAATGTTAAGAAAGCTACCAAAGAAAGTTATTGAAGAAATTTAGTTTTTAACAGTTACTGCTAAAGCAGATACAACCATGCAATATAAAATAATTCAGGAAAAATTCAAGATTAGAATACATAGACCAGATCTTTATAATATTATTAATGTTTTTCGCCATGATTCAACACCAGGCAAAAAAGATACTATCACATTGTTAAAGAGACTATATAAAAAAAAAATTAAAGATCCTCGATGGGTGTTTTCAATAAAGCTTGATCCAATTACGTCTTCTTTAATCTATCTTTTTTGAATAAGCCCTGAATAACAAATTTTGTAGTTACATTATTACAATGTAGTAATGCACAATAATACATATAAAACAAACTGTTATGATTGGTCTTTGTCAATTTTCATTATACCTAACAATAATTTAAAAACGAGAATAGTGGCCCAGGCAATTGTTAATGACAAAACACAATCTTTATATGAATGGGCTTCGAATGCGTTAAGGCTGCAACAGGCTCAGAGCCAAGAGTGTTCGTAACAGATAGTGATCCGACAGTTAATAGTGCCATAATAGCTTAATTTCCTGATATTTCATATGCATTGTATATGGTGTTACGGGCAGAATAAATCGTGACCACACAAAACGTGACTCAAACAACGATCGGGACCTGGATCGATGCACGATCAATGATCGTGCATACAATGACGATGCCCCTGGATTTTGGCATTCACGATCAACTCAAAATTGGGTGAAACTCGCATATTTGGGCCCCATACAATCGCATGATTCATAGATGAGGCGCATCACCAAATCGAGAGATGATAATGAAGTTTCAAAATAGCGGATCTGGGTAGGTTTGTATTAAAGAAAGAAAAGACGGGTTAATAAAAGTAGAATAGTTAAAAATAGAAAACGTAGAAGTAATTTACCCAAATCCAGTGAAATGGCCAAATAGT